ATTAGTAATCATCCTGTATATATAAAAGTGAGCAAATTCACTAGAATATTCATAATTTAATTGGCTAATAACTCGTGAATTTGCTCACTTTTGAAATTTTCACCTCATTTTAAGATAATAAAAAGTATCTAAGCAGCTGAAACCTCTTGAACGTTATTCAGGATCATGTCCTGGATAACATTTGTCAAGATCAAGGCCATTGGAGATTATTCCTCTTATTTTCATATTTGCACTAAAAATTCATTTTTACGTAAAAATGAAAATAAGAGATACAATCACCAATGACCTTGAAATCCTACAGGGCCTTTAAAAGTTGCATTTAATTGGATTATAAAACATTTTTTTCATGTTCTAAAGTATATCGCTTTGTGGTTTTGACATCCTTAAATCAAATGCCTCAATTTGATAATAAAAAACTCTATTAGGAAATGAAATTAATACATAATAAAAAAAAATATACTACATAATATGTAAGTTTATTTCAATTAATAAAATTATATATTTTTTATTATACATACTTTGGAACTTTTTTTGAGGATAGAAAAAAAATGTTTTTTATCCTTTATTATAACGTTTTATAATCCAGTTAAATGGAACTTTTAAAGGCCTGAACTCAAAATTTGGTCATTTTTTCACATTAATCGGGCTATATCTTTTAAGGCGTATATCGTAGGGTTAAATGAATTATTGCATCGTGTGCAGCGAAAAAACATACAACACATTTAAAATCCGGATTAAGCTATTTTTGCATCAAATCAAACGTGAATTATGGAAAATTGAAACTTTGACTTAAAAATCGTTCACTAAATCGACCTGTAAATCTTAATATTTTTTGATAAAAATTTAGGGGTGTTTTTTTAGGTTTACATTAAGGACAGAAATAAATAAAAAATAATTTTTCAGCATTTTTTCATATTTTTTATTAAATTAAAAATGTACATTATGCTTGATCACCAGTCGGCATTGACTTTATAATGTCAGAATTGCCAGGATCTGTGATTGAAAGCGTACAAACACGAAAATATTTACCACAGGCTGTACCTAGCTCGATATTATTCCCGGTATAATGATGTACACCAGTCTTTGCCAACATCGCATAGTATTCGATCTCAGACTTCCTGTTAAATCCAAACAAACCATATTTTAAATGTTGAAGAATTATAATAATACTCTGTGCACTTACAAACTGGGGCAGGAGACTACTCCATAGTACTCCTATTTACGATTTATAATACACAAATTGACAGTCCTATCAATATTATCAATCTCTTTTAATATGTAATTTTAATGTGGATTATTTCATTTTTACTGATACTTTACTAATTCTAAAAATATATATAGAAAATTTATATTTATAAATTTACGAACTTCATCCATTTAATAGCGTTTTCCACTGGGAGAACTAGTGCAACACTGCCGCACAATATACCGAGTGCAATTGTATTGTTCCACTGTTAAAGCCAGTTCGGGTATTTTCTATGACTACGTTTACACGGCTCGATTTACACCAAAGTTATAACATCGATGTTAGGAAACTGGCTTTAAGCTTTGAGGTATGATATTATGTTAAAGTAAAATATGGTATATTATATTATTCTAATTAATTCCATAACAATATTGTTTTTAGTTCCAGTATATGTAGTAATATCTATGCAATAAAATATATTTTGAAAGTCAAGAAAAATTAATAAGAAATTTTTTTGTAAGAAATAAATAAATCATAAATTATTATAATAATAATATAAAACAAATAAATAAGAGTAATTCAGTGATGCGTTTCACTGAATCATTCTAAACCTGAAATATTACTATATTAGCACAGATTTCATCGAAACCTTGCACAGCACTGATGCTGCATCAGTTTTCTGGGTGAAAAACGCTATAAGAGACTATATAGACTAAACGTGTCAATTTGTTGATACAAAAGGAGTGCTACTTCTCAGTCTCACCTCAGTGGTGGTGTATTACTAGCAATGATGACCAATTTGGCTTTGCCTTGACGGAGGGACTTCAGAGTCTGCTTATAACCAAGGACGTATTTACCAGATTTCATGACGAGAGCTAATCTGGTATTGATGCTCTCCTGAGCCTTTTTCTACATAATTCAGTAACAAAATTTCATTAAATGTACTTAACATTACAAAAGTAACAAGAAAAATTACAAATTGTTGATTAAAACATATTTACATTATCTGTGGAAAGTTCTAAACTTTTTTTTATCTTCAACATTAGACAGAAATATAGCATCATCCATTTGACATATATTCTAGCTTTTTTCATTGAAGAATATAAATTTCTTGTAAACTGTATGGTCAGTTTAAATGAAACTTTACAAGAACAAACTTAAGTGTTTACTTCATAATTATAACGATTTTTAAATTGCTGTCTTATACGCAAGTGTCTCAATTTAAAAGAGAATAATTACAGAATAAGGTTATACCTTCAACTTGTAATGTAAAATTCTATAAATTTAGAATTAAATATCTTCAAAACCTGTGGTACGGTAAAAGTCAATGAAATTTTTTCTAGATATTGATATTATTAACTTTTGTATTACACGTATATTATAGACTTGTCTTTCATCAAACGCAAGAACCTCCTTAAACCAACTGAAGACCGTTTACATGGCTTTCTTAAAACAGTTTAATAAAATGCCAAACCTGTTTCAGAAGAGGTTTAAATTAACTAAAACGGTTTTACCAGCGTGTGTAAACGTAGTCATAATATAAGATCTAAGTAATAGTAATGTTATATATAATGATATAATTAATAAATATATTTATTGGAAAGACCTTAAAAACTTGGCTAAAGAATATTTATGAACGAGCACGTGGCACTGCGAATTACCTGTTTTTTCTGAGCCACCATTTTTACAATCAGCGGTTCTTCTCGCAGCTGTAACAATATTCATAATTATTAATTTTGCGTATATTAAAATAATTAAATACATATACAAAACGATATGTACGTTTGGAATTCAACATATCACGTACCTACCAAGAGGATTAACAATGAAAGAAAGAGAGAATGGAGAAAAGTAAGTAGAGAACACGAAATGGCAAAAGAGCTCGCGAGCAATGTCGTCAAAAAGGTAATAGTTTTAAGGTGTCCTTTCATGCTGACGCTCGACGCTCATTTTCGACGTCAAATTACTCCGGATCTACAATAGGGTTTTAAGCCTTGAGCCATAAGAAATGGGCGAATCACAGTCGAGTATTCTCCTCGAATTCGATTGTAATTGATCAATTTCTTATGGCTTAAGACTTAAAACACCTATTGTAAATCCGAACTTAGTCACGTGATATGCCGGCTGCAGACCAGCGCGACATTCGTCGCGTGCGACACGCGATATCCAATGAGCGTATAGCTTTAGAATGACAATATCGGTAAAGCTGTATGCTCATTGGAGCATATCGCGCGTCGCGCGCGACAAACATGCTAGTCTGCAGCTGGCATAATTCCGGATCCACAATAAGTGATTTATGCCCGTATTCATAATCAGACTTTGTACTTAAGGCCTCCTTAAATTTATCTTTAGATGCTCAGCAGCCAATGAAATAATTCGTAGAGCATCCGAAGCGTTACGTCTCAGGGTGGTTCGACCAATCCTCGGTTTCGAACCAACCTCAGGCTATTGCTGGATTCACCCTGCATCCGATTTTCGTCGTACGACGCTC